AATGAATTTGAAGAAATCGTACAACATCCAATTATTAGATGTAATATTTACATTTAAACCATTGTTAAGCTAGGGATATTTGTTGAACTATGCTATTTGGAGTGTTGCGATCCTCAAGAAAAAGAGAAGCATTTAGGAAACAGGGTTGAATGGCCGGCTCCCGCAGACAAAAGGTGTCCATTTTGACAATCTGCGTTAGAGATGTCCCAAGGCCATTTTTTCCCTCTTAAAACTTGTTCATTGAATTGGTGTATACTTGATGAAATTTAGTTCTATAATTGTCCTTGGTTTTCAAGGAAGTTAATCTTGTTAAGTGTCTTTTTCCCCGTTTATTACTAAAAGAATGGGGATGATGCAAATCCTAGAGGAGCATGAACAACATAAGAGTGATTTGAAGGTAAAAAGAAGGGTGTATGCTGAAATCTCCCACACAGGGTGGGGTATTAAACCAATATTGCTCCTCACAAAAAAGAAAAAAGAATACTGCTTGACGTGCATGTGGATCTTAAGAAAAAGTATGTTTGACATAACTGATGTTCAACCACTGGAATATTTATGCCCATGTTGGAAATTAAACTGGTACAGTACTTACTATAAACTTATGCAGAGCCATTAGAACAACATGATGTAACAGGATTTACAAAGTACTCCCTCCGTCCCATAATGTAAGACGTTTTTTGACACTAGTGTACTGTCAAAAAACGTCTTACATTATGGGACGGAGGGAGTAGCACATTAAAATACTTAGTAGAATTGGGACATCGAAATAAGTTGGGGCAGCGATAGCACTAGTGGAGTTGCCTTCCAACAAAACGCAGAGGAGGATCCTCATCGAATAGAGGATGATACCAATATGGTTTAGGAACCGACCACCTGTCATTCGAATTCTTCAGTGCAAATTTTACATTAAATAGATAGGAAATGAATTTGCAGTGGGAAACAGCAAAAACACCTGTTTTCCTTAACTGCGGCATCACCCATTATGTCTGTGGGATGGTTTATTCCTCTTCGTCATGCAAAAATAATAATATTGTAAGCACACTGAATGAATATATAGCCACACAATAAGAACTGAGACAGCACTTCAGGCAAAAGATGTACCTTTGAGATGGGAGATCAATCCCCCTTAAAACTTGTACAATGATTCTCCTTGGCAGGTAAGGAGTTCTATTAGTTCTATCATAGAAGTTCATGCCAGCAAAAGATCCATTAACGAAATTAACAAGGGGTCCTCCAATCCCAGCCTAGTACAAGAAATAGAACAGAGACGTTGTTGTAATGCCTTAAGAGAGATCAAGTTAACTAAAGTAATGTGTGAACAGATTACTGGGAAAACATGCATAGATTCTATCTATATTGGTTACCATTTAAAGGAAGGCGGGAGGGTAGAAGAATTCACCAGTGTACCTTCTTGATTTTACATGTAGACAGCTTAAGGTCTTTGCAGTTAAGTTTGCAAGGTCTGTTCGCAGGCGTCTTAATCACTTTACCAATTGTCCCCATTAATAATCCATCATCAACATCGCGCCCTATAGCTACCACTTCTCTACGTGGTCTTTTCACCTTGCGGAAAATATTCTCCGGACGAATACCATATAGGCACTTCTGAACATTGATGACAGCAATGTTATAATCTGAATGGTACAGTTCCAATGTCCCATCAGTGATCTGTTTCGGTGGGAGAAATACTTTAATCTGCAAGGGTAAAGTGAGCTCAATTAACCATCATCTCACTAAGAGGACAAGAAAAACAATTAGGAGCAGCAAACCTTCATTTTTTCATCAATCTTGTCTTCATCAACCAGACTTCTAACCAAACTGGCCGAAGTCAGAATAACAGGCGTGCCATTTTTATGCCACTTTATAAGTAGGCCTGTACATGCAAAAACTCTCACGTCTCCTACACATCACAACTTTGGCCATTAGTCAGTGGAAACAAATACCGGAATGAAAAACTAATCAACATATATAGCTGTAAAATCACCATCGTATGAAGAAAGTGTGACAACACGCCGGCCGATATTTGTAACAACACCTTTCGGAAGTTTAGCCCAGACCTCCTCCCCAGAAGTACGGTGATTGATATTGCAATCACAGCCCTTATAAGGAAGAAGTTGACCAAAAACCTCTTCAAATGTATCACACAATTTCCCACAGACTGGTTACAGAAACAAGAACAGAAGTTCTGTCACTGAAATAGCTAGAAAAGATCACAAGATCTAGTCAACACAATAGAAAACAACGACGTACCTTCGAGCATAAGTGGTGGTGGCTTAGGATATCCACCGGCTTGTAAATATTTAACATGCATCATAAATCCTGATGCAATAAAATGACCAATATTAGTACTCAGATGATATGTATGATAAAATCAACATGACATTGTCCACACATGATCAATAGGTAGCATTTTTAGAACGTTATATAATTCACACCTGATGGGACTACGCTGTGTACATTTTCAGGCAAGGTATATTCATGGAAGTTCGTAGAGTTTGGGCTGCAATAAAACAATGACGAGTTGTCATGGTAAGTAAATTGATTCTTTTGGCAGCTTAAAAAATAAGCCGCCACCTCCCCAGCTTTTCCCATAAGCCTTCTCTCTTATCCATTGGGGCTTCTAAACTAATTTAGAAGTCAAGACAAATTTAGGGGGCGGCTTGTTTTTAAGCTCGGGGTTGGCAGCTTATTTTTTAAGCCACCCAAAAGAACTGGCCCTGGTGCTAGTCGAACAGCAAAACCAAACATGAGTCAAATCGAGGTATGGAAGGACATGGGAACCAAGCTTATCAATACTAAACAGAAGTCATGAGAGAATAGAGCAGATCCATATGTCAAAATACGAGCCACATTGTCCATGTTTTAGTCTGAACAAAATGACTCTCTTCCTCATTTAAAAGAATACTTACTGATTTCACCACTAAAAAAAAACTCAAAATTAGCAACATGAGATCCGATACTGAAACCTACCAGCTAGCAGTAGAACGAACCAGTTTGTTATTATTAACTCTTAAGGCTCCGATGCTTGTTTCAAAAGATGGCTCACCTTACAATGGATGGACTAGAACGGGAGGTGTGTATTAAACCAGACAAATATAGATACGCAAATTGGGGATGATATAGCTCATGAGTTCTACTCCCTCCATTCCCTAATATAAGTCTTTTTAGAGATTTCAATACGAACTACATACGGATGTATATAGACATATTTTAGAGTGTAGATTCACTTATTTTGCTCCGTATGTAGTCCATGTTGGAACCTCTAAAAAGACTTATAGGAGTATTTAGGAACGGAGGGAGTCGAAGCAAAGGAGACATACGTGAACTGCTCCAGATATATCAAGTGTTCAGAAAGCTCCATACGCAGTAGGACAATGGTAATTTGGTTGACGACATCAAACTCAATGCACAATCCCATCATGTACCCGGCTTGATCAATAACTGGCCCCCCAAGTCCAGCCTAGAACCAAAAATAATAAAGCGGTAAGAATAGCAAAGGAAAAAACACCAGCAACAAAAAAGATTACTTTGGTGCCCAAAATTAGAAAGAAAAAATCAAAGGGGTAGGGATTACAACGCAATAATTTTGTTCCACATTTTTTTCATCGTGCCAAACAAAGTATGAAATAATCAACAGCTTGCCTCTGTGATAGTTAAAGGAACTTGGAGCATTTCTCCATCAACCGTTAATTCAATAGTCTGTGCCAGAGCCGAAGGCCCACCCAACAATTGCAGGATGCCGCCTTTCTGTAGGATATGCTATAGGACCATGCAGGTCTATAGCAAGTACTTCTGTGAAGCAGAAGGACGTGACAATAGCAACGCGGCTATCATAAAGTCCCAAGAACCCATTGATACTTGTTTTGTCGGGAAGGCGCACAATAATCTGCAGAGAAAAGAATTGTACACAAGTCCACCATACAATCAGAATTAGATCGAAAAACAAAGCAAAAATGGGAACATGATGACTAGCAGAACCAACCCTCAATTTATCAGCTCTGTTTCTGTTAGCTTCAAATTCTGTACCAAACGTTTTGAAGTCACAAATCTTGATAGTTCTGGCCTCGATGTGATGATAGGTTTTATAGCTATACCCGAGCATGCAAATAACATCTTATCTCCTGTATAAGATGCTCATTTGGGTCATAACTAGTGATGATTTGATACAAATCAGAAAATTCACGAGCGTAGAAAGCATAATCACCATCGTATAAAGCTAGAGAGACAATTGTGGAAGCCAACAAATAAGGATGAGTCACATCTGTAGAACCAAATGGCTTCTCTTCGAAACTCCGGTCCGAAACAGGTTTGTCGGGAGGACCTCCAAATCGTTCCTCAAATTCTTTTTTGCATCTGTCCACGGCCTTTTTGACTAATTTAATAAAATGGTAACTAGAAATGACCGTGAGTTCTACATAACTACACCAATATATGCAAGAGAGCGAAGAACCAGCAAATAAGAAATCATTGACTCACATTGCAGCATTCGCTCTCTCAACTTCTCTCTCATGCGTGTTTGGCGAGAAATACTACTTGAAACCATTGAGCGACGACTGGCTTCTTCGTCCCTTTTCCTCTTCTCTCGCTCTATGATGCGTGTTTGGCGAGGAGTAGCTTCATGGCCCCTCTTCCTCTTCTCTCTCTGCATCTTTGCAGTCCTGAAGCAAAAAATAAATGGAAAGAAATGCTTAGTAGAGCGTCATATTACGTATGATATTAGAGATCCAAAGAAAAAAAATAAAGTAGGGCCTATGCATACAACATTAATATATTTTTGTCCCTTCTAAGAGTTACATCTTTGCTAAAAGGAAAGATGAGAACTAATCTCATTTTTTAATAAAATGCTTCATCCTTCTAACTTTCCTTGATATAAAAACTTCAAACATATTGGCAAGCAGTGTTCTGCAAAACATAATTTTCTAGTGCTATTGCAGCCAATGCATTCAGTCTTTCTTGTGAACACAGATTGGATCTCAATTTTCACCAAGTTCTTGAGATACCACTGTTATGGCGCTTCTAGAAGGAGGGCACGAGAGGGCCGGCCGGGGGCCTCTTGCCCACGGCCAGGCAAGAGGGAAGGGATTTCCTTCTTAATTCTTGCTTCATTAGATTGATACATCTCCTCTCTTTATATAGAGAGGTTTACTTGACTCCCAAGCAAGGCTTACTTGACCCCTAAGCAAACGACCCTTATCTCTAATTAACCCTAAAACTAATGGGTCCATTAGGCCCATTACGTACACTACACCCCACCTGGACATGCAGCTTGTCCTCGAGCTGCAGCCTAACCAACTTATAACCACGACTCGACGCAACACAAACCTAACACCTAAAAACAAGCCTTTTACATCTCGGCTTGTTTTCTTATTCTCAACCTGAAATGGACTGGGGCGCTTTATTTTGGACCCTTTAACAAAAAGTGAACACCATCCGCACGTCGGACGTGCACGTGTACAGCCACCTGGATCCCATGGCCACCACCTGGACAAAAGGAGTGCATGTGGATGACCACCTGGAAGTGGTCGCAAGAGTGACCAGCAGAGGCGCCCTCGCGGCGGCCGGTGGCGGAATGCAGTGGTGCTACGCGATGCGCTGCTGTCGGTGACACCATGCCTTCTCCCTGCCGGACGGCTGTTGGTCTGCACCGCACAGGGAAGAGTGGAGGGCTTGCGATGGAGAATGACGAGGAAGGGTGCGCCCCCCCAACCGCCGATGTCGCAGACTTTGAGGTCGCTGCCCGCGGGGAAAACAGCATGCCCGCCGCCCGTTGGGGAAACTGCATGCCCAAGATCCCCGACGCAGCGGATGAGATCGAGGTCCTTTGCGCCAGCGAAGGGCAACTTGGAGGAGCGGCAGCTGGAGACCATGCATCTCCCGCACACGCCGACGCGCTAGGAGGCCGCGTGCAGCAGCCTGCAGCCTCACCGCCGCCGACACATGGCAGGTAGCGATCCAAGACGGAAGCGGTGACGGCGACGACGGGGACTGGACTTGGTGGAGCGGGACTCCCACCGGCGCGGTCAATGCGGGGCCGGAGCTGACCGGCGGTGGCTGCTGCAGCTGTAGCGACTGCTGCGGTTGCGCACCGGGCAGCTGCAATGGCTGTTGCGGCGGAGCGCCGGGCGCGGCGGAGGCCGCCAAGAGCAGCGGCTACCACTGCAGCCAGGGCTAGGCGGTGGTGGCGATGGTTGGCAGCGGCAGCGGCAGCGGCTGCTGCAGTGGCCCGGCGAGCGCGGCGAAGGCCGCCTGGTGCGGCGGCTGCCACGGCAGCCACGGCGGCGCGGGGACGGCAATGGGCACTGGAGGCGCGGCGGGAGCCGGCGCCGGCCACTGCGGGGCGGCGGTAGGCGGTGGCGACGGCTGCAGCTGGGGCTACAGCGTCCCAGCGAACGCCGCGGAGGCCCCTGGATGCGGCGAGTACCACGGCAGGGCCGGCGGCGGCCCGTAGGGGTTGGCCAGGTACAACCGGATCCCCTGGACGGCTGTGACGAGGTCGTTGAGGACCCAGGTGATCTCCTCCGGGGTGTAGGCGGCGGCCGGTGGTGCGGTGGAGGGCGGCGGCATCTGGGCGGTGGCGGCGCCGGAGGATGCGACCAGCGGCGCGGACGGGGAGGGCAGCGGCGCGGTGTAGATGGCCAGTGGCGCGGTGGTGACGGTCGGCAGCGGAAGCGATGGGGTGGGCGGCGGCGAAGACATGATCGGAACTGAGCTACCTGATACCAAATTGTTATGGCGCTGCTAGAAGGAGGGCACGAGAGGGCCAGCCGGGGGCCTCTTGCCCACGGCCAGGCAAGAGGGAAGGGATTTCCTTATTAATTCTTGCTTCATTAGATTGATACATCTCCTCTCTTTATATAGAGAGGTTTAGTTGACTCCTAAGCAAACGACCCTTATCTCTAATTAACCCTAAAACTAATGGGTCCATTAGGCCCATTACGTACTCTAACAACCACAGTCACTGATCAGAGCCACAGGAATAGCCAACTTGCATGGTTGCATAAGGGACACAAACTAATTGGTTCAGAACATTGAGAAGGTCAGCTATTAGGATTTTTGCTATGGTTGGAAAGAGGAAATGTGCAAAAGGAGGGAGATGGGCTTGTTTGAGGAAATCTCCAGAGAGGGAGGTGAGAGAGTTGTTAGGTTAACTGATTGCTAAAAACAAATTCTCCTTTTTGTTTATTATCAAAATTGTATCATAAACTTTCGATTACTAATACTAACTACTACTAGTTTTGAACATCAAATTGGAATCAATAAATCGCAGAAGAGGTCGAATTACTAGCAGCCACTACTGGTTATTAAGGGGATATGGTGGGAAACGAAAGGGTCAACGAGAAATAGATGAGTTGTCAAAAGAAGAGGTAGAAGATAATCTTTCGAGTAACAGAGATCAATCGAATACTCGATTCGAACTGCTCCAAGTACCACTAAGTAGTGCTAGCAAACGAGGAAAATGGATTCTTGCCCCGCGACTCTCCCCCCGCGTCGCCCCCGCTCGGGCGACTCGGGCGGGATCGCAACCCTAGCCGCCGGGGTCTTCCCGTCCTTCCATCCCTCCCTGCGCCGCCACCGAAGGACACCGCCGGCCT